CCACCTTCCTTCCCTATGTTGGTTGGGATCTATAAAATAATCCAGACCTTCCTTAAAACCATAAATCATTATATAATATATTTGAAAGGTACTTTCAATCCATATATTCATGTTTTATATACAGGGAGTGTCAAAATTATTATGGCACCCCACCTCAATATGTTAGCCATACACAATATCACAAAGGCTACTAGAGGAAAATAATCAAAGAACAACATCAATACTAGTATGCATATGACCAATTGTGTGGATATGAAGCACGTTATACAGCTGAATATGCATAGTAGATTGTTGAGTATGAAAGTTTTGGCGCCAAATTTAAAAGGTGAATAACTAAAGTCAAGCACCGCAATGATGAATCCAATGCTGAATTGGAATGTCAAATTTGAGAACGTGCATGTCAAATTCAAGAAGGTTCTTGTTTAATTGAAAGAAAAAATAAAGATGTTCCAACAGATTATAGAGTCACTGATGAACCAAAATCTAGCTAATGAGCATATAGATGTTGACACTGATATCCTAAAATCAAAGGCATCTAATATAACTCTTGTGGAGCTTAATCATGAGAATGGTTTGTCCACTCTAGCACTTTTACCTTCACAAGCTCCATTAGAAGTTCCAACAAAAGTTCCTCTACTTGCCATACAATTGGCACCTTCCCAAGTTGTGATCAAGCAGAACCAACCTTGACTTAATATAGATTCACCTCATCTACAAGTTGTCTTGTCACCTAATAGGAAGCTTTAACAATATCTTGTCTGTTGAAAAGGTTTTTAAAAGATTCCAAATAATTAATGCTATCCTCCATATGATGCAATTCGTCGCTACCTTCTTGTTGGAATGGATGTCTAGATCTATACACGTGGATGAAATTTTATCCCTCCTCTCCCTCCCCAACTAATTTGTGCTTCAATTTTAACTCATCTGGTGATGATTTCTTCAAGCGAAGGAGAAATGATGGAATATTGTTATCTTTTTTACATCACATAATCCTTTCCACTAAGACCAAGCCTCTTTTTTTTCTTTTCTCATTTTCATTACTCTCACAGTAAGCTTTATATATACTAGGATTTATTATTTTATTTTATTATCGTCTTAAATTTATTGATATTTAATAAGATAGATATTATCATTTTATCAGTATCATTTTAAATTAGATTTAGAATTTACATTTAGATTTATTATTTTATTATTATTTTATCATTTTAAAACTCTATAAATAGAGTTAGGATTTTCATTTAGAATCAGCTTTTGACTATTATTGAATAAGAGTTTATGAGAGTTTTGATATTTTCCTTCCTTCCCCCCTTCCTCTTTTCTCTTTCTCTCTCTTCCCCTTTTCTCTTTCTTGTTTTACATAACATAGTCCTTTCCACTAAGACCAAGCCTCTCTTTTATTTATTTATTTATTTTTACTTTTCTCATTTTCATTACTCTCACACTAAGCTCTATATATACTGGACATAACCTAAGCGAAAATACCAAGTCCATCACTTGATTGCTTATTTAGCAAACAATAATAGTTCTCTTACTCTCTCTAAGTCTCTCTTTCTTTTCTTCTTCTCCTTTTCAATGATATGTCTCTCTTTTAGCCTTCCTAGCAAGTTTTTGATTTTGAATTATGACAATGATCTAGACAAGTTCACCTCTAAGGAAGAGCTCTTTGAGCTATTCTAACTGTGGTAGAAGGAACACAAACAAGAACATGAAACCTTAGATGAGAAGTCAAATAGATTTGAGATCTTCAAAAGCAATGTGAAGTATATCAAGGAGAAAAATGCGAAAAGAACTTCAATCTACGACTATTGTTTGGGTTTGAACAAATTCTCATATTTGACATTAGACAAATTCAGAGAAACCTACATAATTGAGATGGAGCACACAGAGGGAGGCAACATTGGTGAGCCCGACAGCGATCACTATCCAAATGCACCTCTTTCCTTGGACTAGTGGGACTTTGGAGCAGTTATTGCAAAGACCTAAATATGATAAAATAGACTACAATTGTAATAGCCTGAAAAACAAATATATATATATATATATACTTATTTAATTAACTATATGAATATATTTTAGTTATGTTTGGGATAATTATAACAATAAGAAGTATGGGTAAAATGCAAGTATGTATGCCAAGCAACCTAAAGGTTCTAGGTTTGAATCCTTGATGCAATAAAAAGGGGGATTTTATTTTATTCAGCTTCTCTGAAATTACAAAATTACCCTTTTTGAAATATGATAAAAGCTTCCTTCCCTTCCTCGGCCATTCTAGAAAAATGGAGAGAGAGAGTATGAGAATAAGACTGACTTAACCTATTCTTTGTACCTCTGACCCTTTTCTCGTTCCAGTGATCGCCAACTCCTCTCCCTTTTGTGTTCGCGGTGGTGGCTAGTATAGTTGAAGCTGTAAGTTGCTCTGGTTCATTTCCCCTGTATTCCCTATCTTTATTGTCATTCTCTGTCCTGTTTCTAGCTATCTTCATTAGGTTCGATCGCTGCTCAGTTTCTATCATCTGTTTGGGTTGTTGCTGGCATGAGATTTAATCGTTGGAGTTGGATTCACGAGTCTTTCCTTTCCTAGCTCAATCGTGAGCTTTATGATCTGCTTTACTATTATGTGCTCCCAGTTTCTACGTCCTCTCTGCGTGTTATTCGGTCTGTGTGTTATGAGCTGAAAAATCACAAAGCATCAAAACTAAAGTGGAGCTGTTGCTGTAAGCTTGTATCGGTGCTATAGAGTCAAGCTCCTTTCATTGCTGTGCATCATAACAGTGTTTGAATTATATCTCCCCTGTTAAGCCAGTTGTTTTAATTTCTTCATCTTTGTTTTCTGTCGTGGTGAGTCAAGGTGAGAAGGCTTCACGTTTAGGCTTCTTTTGCTATGTATACATGTGAACTGGTGATTAAAGTAGCAAAAAAAAATTTAGCTCCCTTGTGGCTGTCTATGATTATACATGGCTGAGAAAAAAAATAAAAAATATTATGCATGCCTTTTGTTACTGTTGTGCCGTGCTGTTATAGGAGGGAGAAGATTCAAATTTAAGTTGAAAGTTTATTCAAAATTTGATATGTGTGCGCGCGCGCGCGCGCGTGCACGTGTGTGGGTCATAATCCTTAGAGCTAAATAAATTTAATTTGAATTGAATATGGTTAAAAAAAACTATTAAGGAAGGGTAGGAAGAGAGTAGTTTTGATATATAATTTAAATAATTAGAATTTATGCACCTAAAGTAATTGGTGCAAAACCTATGAAAAATTTTTACCTCAAGAATGGGGAAGATTGTAAGTGTGAAGGATAATGTTTGGTAGTAGAAGTATGTTAGTATGGAAGCTATGGAATTATGAATGGATGGTTTTGACTAAAACAAATTAGTTGGGATTAGTGATGTTAATGATAACAATTGGATCAACTCTAAATATGATGTTAGTTTTAGAATTTTAAATGATAATGGTTGATTTGGAGTTTGGTTAAAAATTTCATTTATTTATATCCTGATAGGGTGTGAGGAAGAATGGGGCCCTGACCAAAATTAGAGAAGAGGATATCTTTGAGAATTTGAAGCTCTGACAAGTAAGTGAATAGCATTCTATTTAATATATTTTTATTTTTAATAGCCTTTTTTGAAATATTTTATTCTTATGAATTATATTAATTTTAAAAATTATGAAATATCAATAAAGGACAAATGAGTTATGATATGTGCATTTATTAATTCTTGAAAATACATTTCCAAATTTGATGAAAGCATTCTTGTATGGTTGTTAAACTTTGAAATTTATTAGATAGTTAATTATTGCAAATTTATGATTTTGACAAATGTTAAGATTTGAAACAATTCATGCGAGTTTGGCAGTAAGAATGATAATTTATTTCAATGATAATTATTTTTCTCGCATGTTTGAAGCGTGATTTAAAAGGAGACTCGAAACAGAACACTGCTGCTAACGGTAATTCCGTTAGCCCGTAACGCGCTATGGTTAAACACTAGCTAGTTTGCTTTGTGAGTTTTATTCTCACGTTTGGTAATCGTGGGCTTTGTACCCGCGTTTGATTTGGTGGCCTGAGCCGCGTTAGGTTACTTACCCTCGTGGACCGTGTGTCCACATTTGTTTTCGTGGCATAAGCCGCGTTTGGTTATTTACCCTCGTGGACTGCTGTGTCCACGTTTGTTTTCGTGGCATAAGCCGCATTTGGTTATTTACTCTCATAAACTATGTGTCCATGTTTGTAACCTATTCTGTTTAGTTCTCAAGATCTTAAATGTTGATTAATATGTGTTTTTGAAATTTACATGATTTTGGCTAGCAATTTGTACCACTTTGAGTTATATGTGAGCAGATTGTTTTCTTTTAGCATGATAACATAAATTGTTTTCAATTTACTCTTATTTTACAAATATGGCTATGACTTACATGCTTATAAATTTTGGTGGACTTACTTTTAATTAGTTGACACCATTATTAGAGATTGTTGATTTAAAATTTAAGAATTTTATCATGAGAATGCTATTCACTGAAAAAATTATTTTAGCTTCAGATTTGTTAGCTGACGCCAATCCCACCATTGACCTCAAAAGGATAGAATAGCTACAATTGGTGAAAGTTTTGGATTGGTATTGCTTCTTTTAATGTAAATATATAGTTCGTATGTCTTTTTGATTTAAAAGAAAGATTAGATATTCCACATAGATTGTTAATAGACTTTGTTTTGGTTTGTATATGGGTTGCTGGCTGGAAGGAGCTACGATCCTGATTTATACTATTATCTATAAAAAAATTTGTTATAGAATTTTCGGGAGATCCTAATTACAGAGAAGGTTCTGCCGAAATTTCTACAAAAATGTCGACACTTTCTTATGATAATGAGTCTAAAGGAATTACTTTAATTCCCATGTAATTTGATTAATTTTGTTCTTTTCTTTTGTAAAATGGAATAAATATTCATTCTGGGCTTACGGGAATGTGTGAGTGTTCACACTCATGCTGGTCACCCTTTATTTATGGGGCGTGACAACAATATTCTTGTGAGTGTTCCTGAACAACAACTTATGTCATGTGATCCTAATACTCATGGCAGCAATGGAGGCCAGGTCTACAAAGCATTTGAATATGTCATCAAAAATGGTGGAATTGCCTCGGAGTCAGATTATCCTTATGAAGCTATTAATGGTACTTGCAATCACCAAAAGGTCTGTAACATTATTCTTTATTTTCGTGGATTACCCCTTCTTCTTCTTCTCGCTCTGATTATCTGGTTTCCCTTTTTTCTTTTTCCGACAGGAGAAGAGGATAGCCCTTACTATTGAAGGCTATGGAAAAGTGAAATCCTTATGCGAACCTTGTCTCCTTTGCGCTGTTTCTAGGCTGCCTGTTAGTGTTTATGTATGCCGATCCTTATGTATGCCGATCCCATAGACTTTCGACACTACAAGGGTGTAAGTCACATATATGTCATAAATAAATAGAAGATAAAAAGCTCGAATAAATAAACGAGGACAGGGAATAATTTCTTTGAAACAAGGAGAGAGATCCACTTGGCTTGATCCATGTCAGCACTAATTTCTTCATTAAAAGTTTATACTTTGAACATGGACATGGACTCTTTGATGCGAGTAGCTGCCCAAACGTTGAACGTTGGTATACTGATCATGCGATGCTGATCGTGGGATACGGTTCTTTGGGTCTTGATCATGATTATTGGATTGTGAAGAACTCATGGGGTAGAGAATGGGGAGACAGTAGTTACATCTACATCAAAACAAACACTGGTGATCCTTTTGGTGTATGCAACTTCAATTGCTATGCTTGTTACCCAACCAAGAACATTCTCAAGCTTGATTCTGCTATATGAAGCAGCTCGAAGTAATACGTGCAACAATAACATGACGCTTGGCATTATGTGTGCACGTGGGCGTCACTAGTAGGAAAAAAGGCTTTTTAAACCAGTTAAAAAAGCCTTTCTAAATCTTGTTTGTAGTGTAACTCTTGTGTGCTTTTGAAAGTCAAACACAATGTGATTGTGGGGTTTCTGCTATATGAAGCATCTCACTTGCCTTTGAACAAATGCCTCATGTGTACGTGTAAGTGTCTTTGGCATAAATAAATGGCATGTCATTTTTGCCTTTGATGAATAAAGGCTCTATTTGTGTTGTAACTCTTGTGTATGCCTGAAAGCCAAACAGATTGTGGAGTTTTTGCCGCATGTATTATTATAAAAGAGTGCTGATCATGTATAATTTATAAATGGTTTTTAATTGATAAAAAAACTAAGTCACAATTAAGAATATGTGCGCATCTCAACTAACTCTCATTGTTTAATTTAAGAGAGCTTAAATGTCACTCAAATAATTAGCACAAGAACAAATTAATCCTCTCATTTCTAGAGAAGAAGTGTTGTGATTAAGGGTAGATAAATATGTACTGTGCCAGATTTGTTATCAAAGGATAAGAAAAGAAGGTTAGTTACATGATACATTGTCAAGCTTTGTGGAGGCCTGGTTTCATGGAAATCAAAGAAGCAGAACATTTTCTCCAGATAATCTGCAGATAAATACATGGATTGATTGATTTAAAGCATGTTTAATATCTTCAAACAATCAACGAGCTGATATTTTAACCAAAACCTTAGGAAGAAAGGATCAAGAAAGATCGCTCAGCAAGCTGGTAACTTTAAATTTATAAATTTAAACTCGAGTGGGAGTAATGTTGAGGTTAAAGGTATATAAATTGAAATCATATTTTGTGTGTAAAACTTGTTATTATTCTAACTATGATGTAGTTCAGTTTGATTCAGTCAATAAGAATTTCTCCCATCAGAATGGGTTTGTATTCTTCACTTAGCCCAACAAGAAGTAGAAGTTAGAGAATAAAACAAATCAAAGCAAAGCACATCAGATACAAGTCGGGTATCCCCAGAAACAAAGATAAAGCCAAATGCTGGAGAAAAAACGGGCTCAATGCTTGATATTCTTTTTTACCACAATACAAGACATTTGTAACTAATTTATGATTTTTTTTTAAAAAAAGTAAGTTAAAACCCTAATTTCTTAAAAAATCTATATCTTTTCAATTATACCATCAATAAATATATCCTTTATTAGTGTCTTCATAATAATAATAAAAATTTTAATGCATCATTTTTTTCCAAAAAATGGAATAAGTGAAGCAAGGGTATAATTAAAAAAATAATTATATAAACTACCTAATAATTTAAATTTGGACCAATCAGGTTTAAAAGATGTCCTATATTGTGGAAAGGAGTATTAATAATTATGTATAAACTTCATCTAACAATATGAGGAAAAAGAAATGCAAAATTTGCCCTCTTTTGACGAAGTTTTGGTTGTCATTTGATGCAATGGATAGTCAGTATCGATTGGTCTAAAAGACTGCATCAAACCAACAACATAAAGAACTTTTTCGGTAGCGCGTGGCGCCAAATCTTTGCCGTACCCTGTGGTCCCTTGTTCTCAACCAATAGATCCGATCAACGGCTGAGATTGGGATTCGGTTTCTCTGAGCCATCCAGATTGTCTAGATTTTTTATTTTTAATTTTAAAATTTTATAAAAATAAAATTTATAAATTTTTTGATAAATATATTCATCATCAATTTGGACAGTACTGATTTAATTTGAGACTTTAGGTAGTTCAATTTAATATTATAATTTTCATAAACTGACTATTTAGATGTACTCTAGACAAGACAAATTCAATATTAAATTTTTTAATAATTTTTTATTTTAATAAATATAAAATAAAATAAAAATAAAAAGTTGAGTAAAACATAATTAGTTGAACAAGTTGCATTTGCAAATTATATTAAAACTACAAAATAAAGAAAAACAAATTATTCTTATATTTCAAGTAAAAATAATAGTGAGTAGAGTATCATTTCCATAAATATTTGTATTAAAAATATGATCAAGCAAAAGAACAAAAATTCAATGAAGTTAAGCAAAATACAATTAGTTGGACAAGTTATTTTTGCAAATTATATTAAAAACTAGAAAATAAAGAAAAACAAATTATTCTTAGACTCCAAGTACAAATTAGGAGATGGAATTATTTATCTTCTTTGCATTTCATAGCATTGAAATTACTAAGAAGTCCCCACACAATGATTTTAATTACCTTAAAGTCACGTGAAATGTACAAATTGTTGCCAAGTCCCAAATCTTGTGCAATTACAACTCGACAAAGGAAAATGACAACTTCAAATCCCATGCAATTACAACTCGACAAAGGAAAGTGACAACTTCATCAAGTTGTCACTTTCCTTTGTCGAGTTGTAATTGCACAGAATTTGGGACTTGAAAGTATTTTGTACATTTCATAGGTCCTCTTGGTGGTTAAAATCTTTACAAGAGATCTTGGAGTGATTTTCCCAAATATTTTTAATGAAAATAAATGTTAACCTAAAGTTTCAAAAATATTTGAAGTTTTCTCAAGTCATAAACAAGTGTTTAGCTTAATTATTTACTAAATTTCTTATTACAATTAATAAAACCTAATTTTAAGCACTGCCCAAACGTGTCTGTGCAAGGTTAGCAAGTATATTTTTATCTTACTGATAAAACTAGGGGTGAGCAAAACCGAACTGAAACCAAAAACTGAATTGAACCAAATTGAGTTTGATCTATTTGGTTCGGTTTATTCGGTTTAAAAGGTCAGTTTGATTTTTTAAAAAAAATATTTTGGTTTGAATGATTCGGTTTGGTTTGAAGATTGTGAAACTAAATAAATCGAAGTAATCGAAATTAATCAGATACATTTATAAATATTATAATTGATTTATATTATTAAAGATTATATTTTTAAAAATACTAATATCATATATTTATTGAAAGAGGGTGAGGAAAAAAATGTAGCCCAGTTGACAGCCCAGCCCATTATCAGTTTTTGCCACAGACCCATAGTGTCATTCTTTATTTTTTAGCAAAAGCCATAGTGATCAGACATTGACATTCAGACTCAGCCCAGTGATACTCATCACTCCTCGCTCGATTGCTCTCAGAGACTCAGATCAGACTCTTATCTTAGTCATTTAGGTTTAGTTTTTGTCTCCCACTCGGCCACTCCACAGTCCACACAAAGTCGTGACTTACGAAGCCTAGTAAATAGCAATCTCTGTGACTCTATATCTCCATCTCACACTCGCTTAATCAGTGATCAATCGACGTTGGATCCTTTGCAGACAGCAATTTGTCAGCTCCTCTCTCAATCTCGGCTTTAAGTCTCTTCTCTCTTTCAGCCTTACTCCACGAAGCATGAACCATAGATCACCTCAGGCTTCGTCTCCCTCAACCTCCATCACTCTCTCGATCTCGGCTCAGATCAACGTTCATTTCCCTTTGCCTCAAATCAGCATTCATCTCCTTTCATCTTCTCAAGTCCAGTTCATCTAAGCTCAAGCTTCATCTCCCTTCTCAGATAAGGGCAACTCATAGACGCAAGGTATGGTTCCAGCTAGTGACTTTCTTCATCTCATGCTAATCTCTTCTTCCTTCTCTAAAATGTCTTTGTTTTTGAACTTATAAGAAGTGTGTCTCAAGCTTTATTTTGTTTAATGGTTCAGATGTCTGCCTTTTGTGAAGGTGAAGGACAAACTATCACTCCAAATAGCCAAACACTAACTCCATCTTCAACATCTAATACTGAAGTGAGTTCAAGAAAAATAAAGGCCATACAGCCAAGGTCTAAAGTTTGAGAGCATTTTCACAAATATGTTAATGAGCACGGAGAAACCAAAGGTAAGTGCAATTATTGTGAAAGGGAGTTTTTCTATGATCCAAAAAGGAATGGGACTACTGCACTTAAAAATCATATAGGTGTGTGTAAGAAACAGCCTCCTCCTGAAGAAGGCATGCAAACCCACTTAAATTTTAGTATAGATGATAATGCTTCTATTCTTGCTAACTGGAAATTTTATCAAGAAGCAATTAGGAAATCTTTGGCAAACATGGTTATAACTGATGAACTTCCTTTCAAATTTATTGATGGGTTTAGGTTTAAATGCTTTATGGCTGCTGCTCAACCAAGATTTAAGGTTCCTTCTAGATGGACAGTGGCTCATGATTGTTTTAAAATTTACATGGATATAAAATTAGATTCAAAGACTACTTGATTAGAAACAAACAAAGGGTTTGTCTGACAACTGACACTTGGATTTCTATTCAAAGAATCAATTACATGTGTATTACTGCTCATTTTATTAATGCTGACTGGAATTAGACTAAGAGGATTTTGAATTTTGTTCCAATATCTAGTCATAAGGGGAGGGATATTGGAATAGAAATTGAGAAGTGTTTGCTTGAATAGGGAATTGATAAAGTATTTACTATTACAGTAGACAATGCTGCTTCTAATGATGTTGCTTTATTGTACTTGAAAGAAAAAATTTTTGATTGGGGCTTTTCTATCATGAAGTGTCAGTTTCTACACATGACATGTGTTGCTCACATTGTAAATTTGATTGTTATTGATGGGTTGAGATTAATAGGGAGTTCTATGAAGAGAGTTAGGGAGGCTGTTTAGTTTGTTAGGCAATCTGCCCTTAGGATGAAAAAGTTTAAAGAGAGTTGTGAGGATGAGAAGATTCAAAGTAAGAGCCTTTTGACTCTAGATGTCTCTACTAGGTGGAACTCCACTTATTTAATGTTGGAGAGTGCTCAAAAATTTGAGACAGTTTTTAAAAGGTTTGAGGACAAAGACCCTTACTTTCGCATTGATCTTGAACAAGGGGAGGGGTGCCTGATGCTGCTGATTGGAGGAATATTAGAAGGATGGTGATGTTTTTGAGTCATTTTTATGAGATAACCTTGCGTGTGTCTGGTGCTTTTTATGTTACATC